GGCCAGGAGCCCCTAGTAGCGTCCTTGCTCCTAGTAGTACGGCCAGGAGCCCCTAGTAGCTTCCCAAAGGACGGTTTCAATCGAAATTCTCACTTCCGTTCAATCCGTATAAAACGTGGATTGTACTCTGAAAGTAGACTAAGTAGACAACCAAAAGGTGTATGTAAATCCGACGTAAAAGCCAAAGCCTATGTCCATGTCAAGAGTACATGTTCGACATTCATTGAATTGAATTGAATTCAGCTTCCCCAAGCCTGGCTCGCGAGGACATCAGGACGACCGAAGCGCTTCGGTGGTGTGCAGGGCGACCGGGCCTTGGCGATTTTACCCAATGCCAGGCAACCGAGGACGGAGGGGAGCTTTGACCCGTTTCATCAAGCTTTCACAATTGGGAGATTTGTGAGGGATGTTGGAATCAATGAGCTTCCTCACATCGTGGTTACTGCCAGGGATGAAACACCAAATCTGTGCTCTCTCTCGCTCTCTCTCTCTCTCTCTGTCTTTACCTCTCCTTCTCTCTCCTTCCCTCCCTTTGTCTGATGATCCTGGTTTCCAATTCCCCACCTTCTTCGGGGTCTGTGACTTCATGAAAGGATCATGCGTGCTCTCTCAGTGGCTCACCGCCCAACAGGGCGACCAGGAAGGCAACCCCGCCGCCATACTGAGCCCAATGCTGCTGAACCATGCGAACAAACCCTTGAGAAGAACTGCCGGTGTTGGTGCCCTCAATGGTGGAAGGTTTCACAAGGTACAGGGTAATCTTCCCCGTGCAACAATAACCCAAGTTGAAGCAATTTAGCCACTACTCAGGCCTCGTGTCAAATCACACGACAACCACTTTTCCCTCAAGGACACTGCGCTCAACTTCAAGCCGACTATGGACAAAGCAATGATGGTCTTGAGATGCTTGGAGCTGTGTATGATTGTTAAATTGCTGCATGTCGAATCCATTCAAATCCCCTCCTTGTTATCTGCCTGGTATACCCTGAAATGGCATCTTAAAACTGGGGAAGCATCATTGAGTCGTGGCCGACACCCAGCTTACAAGCACGATTGACAATGCAAACAAGTAGTTTCCCTTGAATCACGAGAGACGGACAAAACAACTTAAGCAATCCCTCCTGCGCGTATGCTTTACGGCAATTAGTAAACAAGGTATGTGTCTCGACATGCACGAGCTTGCACGCTACATATGCACACATACACATCATGAAGATGGCATGTCTCATGATGCAGAAGCCTTGGCCAATCTTAAGGCTCACCTCTTTCCCTCACAAAGCTGCGGATATCCCATGACCATCACCAAAAACCAGGGCTTCGCCATGACGCAATCTGCGTCATCGGCCTTCCTAGCTTGGCTGAAGCACGGCCATCAACCTTCGCCTGCGGTGATGTCACAAAGACCAACGTTTCGCCGTGTCACACACCGTGAGCCACACACGTGACGATCACATCTGACATCACCGCAAGAGCATAGCTTCTCAGCTTCGATGGCAAGCAAAGGTACTGCAAATTTAGGCCCTCACCGAGCATTCCATCACGGTGTGTTGCTCGTCAAATTGCAAAGTGCAATCAGAGTGGTTCAAGACTCTCAAGACAGCAAGTTGAGTTCAGAAGAGGCCATTAAAGTAAATATATCAGATTATTTAGTACACTTGCATTTGCACATTTATGTACGTGCGTCTCGTTCTCCTGTTTCATTATATCCTTAGTATCAAACATCTCATACCGCGGTCGCGTCATTTAAAGCAATTCTCGCAGGAGTGCGCCACCACAGAGGTGGCGCAGTCGCAAACTATGTACAAAGCACACCACATGCCTCGAACAGTACGAGGTGATGGCAGTTACCTTCAACCATGTTGTTCAAACATCTGCAAACAACCACGATTTTGGGGGTCGATTTCAGGTTCAACTGCGTGGTGTGCTCGCCAATAGGCATCAAGTGTCTTGCAGCCTAGTTCACCAATTCCGAACTTTAGCTTTGAATCTGGCGCCCATGTAACGTCTCAACACCTGTCACTGAACACTAATATTCGGGCAAATACATAACGTAGACTGACATGTAAAAAGTTCCACAAGAAGGACGATGAAACAATCTCATCTCTCAGGTGAACTCGAGCATTGAACCTCACATGAGTACACACTTCTGAAAAAAGGCAACATGAAACTGAAACCTTGAAGCTGCAGCAAGAGTCTGCAAAGCTTGATCGCAAGGTGCAAGTGATACGACTTGACTGCCGCACTGAGGGCAGGGCAAAAATTGCACAAAATTTAGTCCCAAATGCCTTGATTGGTGCTGACTTTCCAACTGGGAATTGCTCCACTTTCGGGGGGAACACACAGCGCTGTTTCTCCTCTCACAAACACAAGGGCCTCTGGAGCGACCCTTTTTTCAGCATCCGGAGTCCACTTGGGCAGATTGGGCCGACGCGTCGGGCTGTGTCCTCCACTTCTTCCCTTCAGGCTTCCACCCGGTCTTTGAGGCACCGTCCCCCTTTCCTGGCGGAAACGACTTTCCGACTCGGGCGAGGGCGATCGATCGATCGTCGGTCCAGTCCGTCGGCTCGGGCTGGTGGGTTGGTCCTCGCGGTCTCAAACGGAGACGATGGTTCACTTGGTCTAACCATGAACTAGAGCCATGAGCCATGAACTTCTGGAAACTGGGTAGAATTTGGTCCATCTTCTACTCCCCAAGTCGACACATGTCCTTGAGACCCATCCGATTGACACAGCCTTCTTCCGATCACAAGGGCGACACAAGCCAGGACCAAGGGCCAGGATGGATGCACCCAAGCAACCTTTCATGAACATAGATCCGAAAGCCGTGTTTTTTTCTGGTCTGGCCAGCATCTTGGTAAGTCATTCGCCTTTTGTGCATATCCAAGCTAAGAATGATTGGACGATGCAGTAAACCACTCCGCGATACGAAGAATTCATGAGCCACATATGATATACCCTGCGATGCGCATCGCCTTGGCAGCACACTGCGCGGTACGTGCGGCACGCTGTATACGAGGCACAATAAACATGTAATTATTGAAACAATAGGATCACTTATATATATATTATATCTATGATCAATGCAATCTGGTATGGCTCCAGAATTGGCACCCCAATCTGAAGAGGAAGAATGAACAAGAGTGGATCCCCAGCGGCCCCAGCGGTTTTGAGCCAACGACCATCTATTATCTATTATTTCACTACCTCTTAGTGTGACTGGCACAACGAGGATGCTAACCTGGCGGAAGAACCGCTGGCTTTTATGGGCTGTGCTCCTGTCACAACGTTAGGTGCTAGGTGCTCTTCAATATCTTAACTACGTGCTAAGCTATGTGCTATCTCGTGCCTCCAGCAAAGCTATCTGTTCGTTCGCTGAAGCGCAGCAAGCGATGCAGCACTGACCTGCTGTTCACTTTTTGGAATTGCCACGCGTTTCCCGACGTTGGCGTCTGAATCGCCCTAGCAAAACCATGACATATCAAGGCGGCGAGGACACTTGGGTGGTGCAATCAAACCCAAGGACCTCGAATTTCCTTCAAGCTCCTGGCTTCTTCCCATTCTTTTGATGCCCCTCTTGCCTGTGTGAAACATTCGTCCATGTGACATCAACAGGCATCCTTCCCACAAAGTGGGCAGGTCTTGCGACACTCGGAGAGCCACCTGGGAGGTAGCCACATGGCCCGGAGGTAGCCACATCATGATAGGACGTCTATGGTGGGCCATTGAATCGCCTCTGGCAAGAACATGTTGAGGAATCAACAAGTAAAGTACTTTCAATTGACTTCATTTAAGGATAAACTCTGCCCAGTACCCAAACTCACCAGTCTGAAAAAGGGACTGGACCTTGGACGTACATACCAGGAGAGTGAAACATACCAGTTGCAGCAAAACTGCCTCCCACGTATCTCGGAGCTGTTGGGGAGCAAACCTTGAGATGCAGTCACGGTGGAATTGATGTTTGCACTGCATGGCCGCAACATGGTTGTCGTCCTCAGCGACAGGAATCCGTCGAAAAGCGAGCGCAATGCCAATCCGTAAAGTGACCAAGCAAGCAATGCATCAACCAGCCGTTTTGCTGTGTTGACCTGTGTTGACCTACTGGAACCCTGAGTATATATAAATATATTAACTATTATTAACTGAATAACACGCATTTACAAACATGATGTGAACATGTGTGAACCATTTCCTGTTTGGCTGGAGGGTTCTTCCTAGCAAGCCTAACACACATCATTACTGTAAATTCACAAAAATCCTGGACAAAAGTTTCTCTCGAACCTCCAGATTCAACGCGCAAATGGACCCTTTCACCCTTTGATCGTGACGTTTCCTGGCGATCCTGGCCTCAAATGGCATCAAACAAATTGCACAGTCTCGACCTCAGCTTTGCCAGATTTCCTATGGTTCCCTAGTTGAACAGTCTTTAGATCCTTCCATTCTGGGCCATCCGAAAGGGAGCATCGTCGAAAGCGCAATCCCATTCTGAGCTCCACTTTGGATCACAAACCAAACATCTACCATTGAACGAAGTCTCTACATGTCTCGACGTCGATCAACAAGGAACCTGAAAAATCACTTGTGACTCACAACAAAACGGAGCTCCGGCAATTGTGGCGATGAAAACACCCGCCTTTGAAGTCATCGGGTAAAACGCTTGGGAGTGCCTGTCGATGCGCAGCCTTTCCGATCTTCACATGCCCCAGCCTTTGTACTTTGATGGATTTTGATGGGTTGATTTATATGTGGATTATGTGGGTGTATACCTGGAAGAAGGACAATAGACCAACACACCTTGGTAGGGGTCGGTCTCCCTATTACATCACACTCAAGTCTAGTGTAGCTACTCTCGTGCAAACAAAGCTGCACACTCTCTCTCTCTCTCTATCCATTCTCTTCACTGCTGGTGTGATTCCCTGAACTGTGATGGCATTGCTGTATCCCCAAAAAGGTACGGAGACAGTTGATCATCCTTCTGCTCCAGTGTCATACACTTGTCATACACTGAAGTTCGAAAACTGGAATGGACTGCTTCACATGGACGTCTGCTGTGTCCCCTTTGTGTCGTCACCGGGTCCATCTCCGGACCTCAACGGTTTCAGTGCTGGCGACAGGTTGTCCGACGGCCTGATGCGCCCATCGATCGGACAATGCGTCTCAAAGCACTCAGAGCTTAGTGACTGGTGTCTTTGGTGACGATTGCGACTATTGCGCCCAAAACACCACGAAAGGCGTGGAATTTTTACAGAAGTGGATTGGAGTGAATCAACGAATATGTAGAGTAAGGGCACCAAATCAGCTCAGGCTCGGCCTCCGATGGGTTTATTGGCGGAGGGGGGGTGCATTAATTCTGGGCTTCGTGAGATCGGACGGCTGCATGGCTGGTCTACGATGGAGTAGATCCTCCTCGCGGGCGACGAGTCGCCCGCGACGAGTTGCAAACCACACCCTTCGAGATAGTGTGCCACTTAGTTAGGTACGTCCCAGTGTGATCCATCCTACCTGGATGTCATGTGAACTTTACATCTCTTCTACACCACAACATCCCAAGGCTGAAAATAGTGAATAGTGGTACGACCATCTCTGGCTGTTTCTGTAGCTGCTTGCCGCTGCGGCTCACCCACTTCTATGACACCAAAGGTGTGACACAGTGGCTTAGCCTCCCACCGGTCACCCAATTTCCACTCGCCGGCTTAGACTCCTGTCGCTTTTTCACGAGGAGGCGTGCCTTGTCAAGTCGCAAAAGAAGCTCATAGTCGTCAGGCCTCAAATGATCCACAGAGAGGGATGATCGTCAAGACCCGTTGAGACATCTGTTGAGAATGATTTCCTAACGGTCTCTTGGATGGAATTTGTGCCGACAGTGACAGTGCCGCCTGGTCTGAGACCCATGTGTTCTCTTTTCTTTTCGTAATCGATGCCATCGAGAGCGTGAGCCGCTCGCGCGCGTGTCATCGTTAGGCTGTCGACGTGATCTCACGTGAAAGGAGGTCAAGCACCTGGCGGTGGTCGTTTTTCGCTCTGAACTGACCCGTGGGGTGCGGGACTCGCATGGCGAGTCCGGACTCCCATCGAAACGCATTTCGAGTCAGACTTCAACAGTGGATGCCATTTCCGAGTCATCTCATGGCTGCTTCGATTCCATGGCCTGCAACGCATCGGAAAACCGGCCCTGTTCCGATTCGGAACCACCGGCCGCCGGAACCGCGGCCGCCGCCGCCCGCCCTCTCCGCGCCCTCGCCTCGACGGAGGTGAGGCCGCAGGGCAATCGGACCGTCGGATCATTGGCCGATGGGGAGGTAGATGCAAAGCGTGGCCTGCGCGGAACCGGCGTGGCCGGCGTGGCTGAAGGCGGTGGCCGCAACGAGAGCGGAGCAACGCGTTGGCTCAATCCGGAGGTGTGGCTTGTGAAGCTGCTAAGAGCTGTTCATGTGAACATCCTTGAAGATCCTCGAAGATCCTGGTCATCATTTCTCTTAGTTTTGGGGACAATGGCTAATAATGTGGGCTTACCCACGTGAGCAATTGTGGGCAAATGGATTAGACCTGCAGATCGAAGCCAACAGCAGCTGTAGGTCTTATAGGTCCGCTCGAAGACTAGTGGTTGACAAGACCGATGTTTCCAATGTTGCATGTTGCATGGTTCTCAGCCGTTTCTTCCGCAAGCAACAGCAGTGCCAGCAGGTTAGCACTGATTGGTGCAATCCTGCAAAACTGGGTGTAGGACATTCCTTCAAAGCTGACATGTTGCATTGCTCGTACTTATTTCCGCCGCAAGGGGCAGGGCTTCTTTCCGGCGAACTCGCCACAGCCATGGACGGGATGGACAGGCCGCTTCGGCATTTCCTATGATCGTCGGTTTGGAGCATTAAATACAAACCCAAAACACTTACATCCCCCCCCAACACATGATATATGGTATGCATGAAATGAACAAACCATCTGGGATGTATGAGTGGTCGTGCTCCGACAAATAGCAGCTCAGCAGGGATGATGTCAGTTGTGCGCTACCAAATGGTTTCTCTTGAGGGCTTGAAATCATTTCACCTTGAATCAACATGAATACACTTGATTCCAGATTTGAAATCACTCTTTTTTTTAATCCCTTTTTGTGGTTTGCGTTGGATAGCATTGATAGCATCGGCTGTCGGCACCTTCGACGGTCAGGCCGTCGACTGTCACGGCTGCGACCTGGGTGGCGCCTCTTCTCGAGCAAGTTGTTTTACAGAAGAACCCACAGAACTCCTAAAAGTCCTAAAGCAAAGAAAACACATGCAACAACGAGATAAAGAAAGAAAATTATGGGCACCTGTAAAGGGGGCAGCATAGTTTCGGACTTTCCTGTTTTCTTTCTTTTGGGACTTCAAGAAACAAAGAAGGACGATTTCGGTCGTGACCATCTCTGGGGCACCCAAACGTCGGGTGCGATGATGTCTGTAGCCTGGGCACGGTGCGCATTGCGCCGGTGCCAGGGTGTTACTGCTAGGGTGGTCTTCGACCGCTGAAACGGGTGATACCTAAAATAGGGAACCCAAAGAAATCCTGGATGTACGCGTTTGGAGATGGGCCGTGAATGGAGAGACCTTCTCATCACCCATTGAGATATTACATTTTTTTTTTCGCTCCTTTTCTCATCAGGCTTCATCGATGGCCGTTTTGGCCCGGAACATCAGTGGGAGCTGCAGGCCTTCAGCCTGTCCTCCACACCGGCCTTGCAAGGCTTTGCTGGCCTGCCATGCTCGGTCTTTCATGGTGGCCTGAGCTTTGCATCTCTGGCATTTCAGCGTGTTGGCTCGCCGCCACATGCTGTGCGAGCTGTGTCCTTGCCATCCTTTCCCTGGTTCCCATGCTTCATTGATGCAACTCGTCTTGCTCAAAGCCTGGAGTTTTTGCACGGCTGCATTCCTCAAAGCCCGGGTGCCACAGCTCTGACAAACTAGGTAGCTGCCCTGGATTTGAAAGTTGTGCTCACCGTGTTCGCCGGAAGTATCCGCAAGGATCTTCTGGATGAACTGGGTCTTGGTCTCAGCATCTGGGGTGCAAGGCTGCTGGCCTCCTTTGGTGGTGCCTGGGTTCCCCGGGCACCTCTCTGTGGCTGCCGTCCTCAAGTCTTCAAGCTTGGCATGGAGGGTCAGCCTCTTGAGACAATGGTGGCATTGTTTGGCCCGTCCTTTAAGGAGCCAAGTGTGGGCGCCATCCTGTGGAGTCTCAACCAGCGCTGCAAAGGCCTGCTTCTTGCTTTCTTGCTTCTGTGTTCGCAGCGTTTTTCCTGTTTCCCTGGCCTGGTGCATGAAGTGGTCCTTGTTGTCCAAGATGTGTTGCACCCTCTTGATGGCAAGTGGTGCAATGCGCTTGTACTTCTCATCTTGCTGCTTCAAGAGGGCCTCCTCTTCCAGTGGCCTCAAGGACAGCGCAACCTCAGTAGCAGCCTTTGTGGCATCACGGAACCTGTTCTTCAAGGTCATATGCCCGCTTGGCATCTGCCTGATCTGCTGCATGGTGATGCTGAGGGCTTTGACTTGCTTCCTTTGCTCTGGAGTGACCAAGCTGCCCAGGTCGTGGAAGATGTGGTCATGCTTGCATTGCACCCATGCTTCCCATGCTTTGGCGGACAGGACATGGAACTTCACTTGGGTGCTCAAGTTGATGTAGTGGGCGGCCATCCTCAAACCATAGAACCAGGCTCTCTCCAAGGACTGCTTTCCCGGAAGCACCGTAGCCACCACTCCAAGGCGGTACAGCTCTTGGCCCAAACCAGCATGCTGAACCAGAGCCACCGCATAGTGCTTCAAGCGTGGGTCTTTGCTCGTGGCGGCTATCCCTATGGTGAAGACCGAGGTGTTGCTCACCTTCATCTCATCCTGCAAGGTCCAGCTGCCCCATGCCTGAACTGCCGCACCTCCAGTGGCCAACTCATACTTTGGCAAGGTGAGCAGCCCTTGCGTCCAGAATTCCAAGTGCACTCCATGGTCAATCTCGAACT